CGCCGACACAAAACATCTGACAAGCGTATATACAAGCGACCAACAACCAACGACATTTATATCAAATATCAAATTTAATATACAACAACATCATATTTTAAATATGATTTATTTTAAATGACAAAGTTTATTGCTATTCCACTGTTTGAAAGATTATTCAGCCTCCTACGAACTCGAACCGGCGAGCGTAATCCGACACGCGACGCATCACAGTTACAATCCGGCAGTCAAGGCAAGATATCAACATAATCCAGGCATTCAAGGCAAGATATGAACATGATTCAGCCAGTCAAAGCAAGATTTGGACATAATCCAGACAGTCAAGGCAAGATGAGTTTTTGTACAATTACTTTAGATGTTCAAAAACATGGCCATTTACTTGTATGCACACTAGTCTATGCTAAATATCATCCCTAACTTTTTGAAGAACACCTGCATTAATATTTCTGCAAGCTTTTCTGATCTGGTTTTTTTATATTTTCAACGGTTGTTGGCTTTTTCGAATACACTTTATCTTTAATATAGTCCCAAAAATAAAAGTCTAGGGGTGTCATGTCGGGTGATCTTGGGAGCCATTCTTGAATTTAACTGTCCAGACCAATCCACCTATTCGGGAATCTTACGTTTAAATATTGCGTAACTGCTCGAGATCTATAAGCCGGCGCTCCATCTTGTTGAAACCACATTTGTCTGAGTACATCGTTGTCGACATGTTTTAAGAGGTTAGGCAAGTCATGTTGAAGAAATATTAAGTAATTTGCCGCATTGAGATTTTCTTCAAAAAAATATGAACCAACAATAACATCTCCCAGAACGCCTGCCCAAATATTAATAGACCACTGCTTTTGGAACTCTTGGCTTCTCTGCCAATATGGATTAATATCTTAATAATAATGGCAGTTATGTCTATTAACGCCTCCTCCGTTACAAAACGTGGCTTCATCAGAAAAAATATGAGTAACGAACTGAGGATTTTGTTGGATTTAATCTCGAGTCCAGTTACAGAAACGGACTCAGCGTTGGAAGTTCCTCTCTTCCAGTTGCTGAGTTAGATGAATGTGGTATGGGTGAAACTTGTTGACCTTGAGCACACGATTGGCTGTTGATTTAGGGATATCGTATTGTCTCTCAATTCGTCTCGTAGAGATTTGAGAATTCAAAACAATGGCACCTATAACAGTCAATGATGTTACCTCATCAAGACCAAATTTTCACCGGTTTCTTCTTAAAAAACCCTGCAAGCTCTGTCGAAAAGTTTTTTATTACTCTCCTATCAGGATGGCGTCTGTCTGGAAATCTTTCAGCGTAAAGCCTCTCTTCTGCCGAGTCATTATTTCTGGCCTCACCCAAAATGTGGATCATGTCCACAATTTCAATTGGTGGATAAGCAGCCATAATTTTGTAAAAAAAAGACTTGGCAAAAATCTCAAAAGTTTCTGTCTTACCAAGAAAAAGTTAATGGTTGTAATACATATGTGTCTGCCTGCACTAACTGGAAATCAATAAATTGTAACAATTGTGAAAGTGCAATTGTTAATTCTTTCGATTTGAAAGTTAGTGCAGGATCACGCTCATATTTTGTCTTGACTGGCTGGATTATGTCCGAATCTTGCATTAACTGATTGGGTCATATCCGAATCTTGCCTTGAATGGCTGCATCATGCTCAGATCATCTTGCCTTGCATGACTGGATCATACTCAGATTATCTTGCCTTGACTGGCTGGATCATGTAAGATAAGACTACAGGAAAGCAAATTTATATTTTAATCAAAATATTGCTAATTTAGAGCTTTATAACTCGAAAAGTACCTAATAGAAAAATATTTTATTATAGTGTTTTGAAAAGCTCTCGAGAATTACAAGAATATGTAATAAAAAATGGTATGTTCTATTTAAGAAATTGAATGTGACCTTCACGTAATTTTCAAACGACTATTTAAAATCAAACCAGTGGCATCGCTTGGTGAATCCATCGGAACCATACAACTTTTGTGTGAAACATTTTTCTCTAAAGTAAAAAATAAGGGAGTTATTTTGGGTGTACTCTTAAAATGGGACAGCCTATATACGGCTTTCATTGATCCCCTATGGAGTTACAATTACTATTACTTTACTATTTACAATTACTATTCTTACAACCTAGTTTCTTACAATATCTCTCTTTCCTTACTTGCTCCTACTCGCCACACACACACACATATACACACCTCGCTTTCTCCTCCGCTCCCTCTCCCTATTTTGGTCATTACTAACTTATATCTAACTTACATCTATCACAAACTATCTTGCATCTACTTATCTAACTTACCTAATAATTTATAAAATGCCCTCTCCTCAACCGCCCATTTCTTTCCTTCCGTTTCCTTCTCTCTCGCTCTCCTCCCCCCCCTCTCTCCTCTTTCACATCACATCTATTCCATCACTCATCCTCCCCCACTCCCCCTTCTTCCTCTGTTTCTAACTCTCTGCCTGTCCTTGCTCCCCCAAAATTTTTCCACCATCTCCTGCCAACTCCCTACTTCTCCAATACTTCCTCTTTAACATCTTCCCCAAACATGTTCCCACGTCTCTTCCTCTCTTCCACATTCTACATCTCTCTTTCTCCTCCTCTTCCCAGTACTTTCCCCCTCTCAATTGATTCCCCAAATTAAATCTAATTACCCTCTTTCACCTCTCCTCTTACCAGATACTTCAAGATACCTCTTTTTCCAGATACTTCGGGATCCCCACCCTCTTCACCCATTTATATCACCTATTAACTCCAGATATCCTTATCCTTTCTCACCTCTCTTCCTTTTGTTTTTCCCTCTCTCTCTCCAATATCTCCTCATACCTTATACTCTTCTCCTCCTCCACCCTCTCATATAATCCTCTCTCTTCTTTTCCCACTATTTTCCTCCTATTCCATCTTCTTCTCATCTCTTCCCAGCATTTCTTTGCTATCTCTCCCCCTCTTCCTTCCTCTAACCTCTCCTCAAATTTCCACGCCCTCCTCCCTGCCCTTCCTCTTAACATTCCTCTCCCCAACTTCTCCCTTACTACATATCCCGACGTCCTCCAGTCCAAACCGATAATCCATCTCAAAAACCTATCCTTCGAATTCCTTTCTCTCCTTCCATCTCCAAATTTCTAATCCATACCTCATTACCGTCCAAACCAATGTATCAAATAACCGCAACCTTTTTTTCAGTCTCTTCCCCACACTCTCTTTTCTATTTCTCACACCTCCCTCATTACTAACATTACCTTCTTCTTTCTTTCCCTTTTATGCGCTTCCTGACCTCCATTTCCTTGTACCTTATATCCTAAATACTTATACTACTTTACCTCTTCCAACCTTTTACATTTCCATCTCAATTCCATTTTCTTTCTTCTCCTCCATACTTCCTAAACCTTATTACCTTAGTCTTCTTCACGTTTACCTCCAATCCTTTCTTTTCCGCATATCTTTCCATCTATACTAATATTGCTTTTGCACCATCTCCCTCCTCCGTTAACAATACCACATCACCCGCATACACTAAGATGTAGACTTTCCCTCCTCTTAACCTTATTCCTCCCCAACCTCTCCTTGCCATCTCCTTTGCCAAGTCCGCCATTAAAATATTAAATAATATCGGACTCAGAGGACACTTCTGCTTTAGCCACTTCGCCGTTCAAAACTCCTTGCCCACACTCTTTCTCCCACCCTCACCCTGCTCTTCGTTTCCCTTAATATCTCCTCCACTCTAACTACTAAGCCCTTCATTATCCCCCTTTCTCTCATCACACTTATCAGTTTGTAACGGGACACCCTGTCCCGCTACGTTTGGTTGCTATTTATGCTACTTCATGCTTCGTTCCGTTTTTCTTCCTTCTATTCTATTATGTATATAATCATCTCGTGTATATAGTTGGTCTTTTTTTTTAGTTATGATGTTACTTACTTAGAAGCTAATCTTGTTTCCATCATGTTAAATATATCGTTAGACACCGAAGATCCGCGCCTAATATCTCCCCACCCAACCCGCCTACGCGAGTCACGAGGCGCCTCGGCGCGCGTTAACTCGGCGCGGCGCCGCTACGTGGCGCCGGCCGGACACCGCGGCCGCTTCTCGCGGTTAAATATCGCTAGCCGCGCCGATATAACGGGGCCGCTCGGACGCCAGGGGAGAGATCGTCAACCGGTCTCTTACCCGAGACCGGTCATCCAGGACGACACCATCCTGGTGATACACTGTTAACACAGCCGCCACCGCTCCTCTCCTGTTAGGACCACACGCGTTGTTTGATTCAACCGTCGTCCTTATTTTAGTTTTTCCTCTTTCCTGCAACCCGCGACGACCGAGTTGCCCGATTCAACCGA